AGAACGATTAACAAAATCATTCTATTATAATGGATACATCATATCCAAATGACAATAGCGTTCATAATTCATTAGTACTTGATGTGTAGACCTTTACTTGCAATAACAGCTTGACGTCTTTTGCAACATGGGCGAATTAATGTCTTGCATTCATTAACGGACATTTTCTCCCATTCTGCTTTCAAATAAGTCCATAGTTCTTCGACGTTTGCTGGATTCTTTTCCTTAGCTCTTTCGTTTAGTAACTTCAAAACATTCTCAATATGATTCATGTCTGGGCTTTGAGCAGGCTACTCCATAACAGTAACATCCTACTCAGGCAGAAATGTCTTAACAGACTTCGCTGTATGACACGGCGCTTTATCTTGCATAAATACAACTGGTTGATTAATTGAAATTCTTAAATTAGGTATAATATGTTTCTTCAATATCTCTTTGTATACAGTTGCGTTAATTTTACCGTCTAGCCTAACAAGAGGTCCCATACAAGCTGATGAATTCATGCCAAACACCATGACAGTTCCTCCTCCAAATTTAATGCTGCTGATGAGTCAAAGTTTAACCTGTTCGGTTGTGAAGGGAGAAGGCTCGTTCGACGCAGTCCTAAGGGACGATAGTCCTAAAGTCCCCTGAGGCGAATATCGTCCCTTAGGACTGCGTCGAACGAACCTTCTCCCTTCACAACCGAACAGGTTAAACATTGACTCATCGCTGAAATGAACACAATCCCACTGTTCTTCTGCCCATATGATGCGTTCAGTGGCAAATTTCAATCGGCTTCACATGACCCCGTTTCCTCAAATTTTCATAAAATACTACGAATAAGACTTAGATTTCCCGACAGTCTTTGAAATATCCCCAATCGTGGGTTTATCTTCATTACATAACATGAATATCAGTTTTCTAAGTTCCAATGACGTAACATATTTTTCGCCATGTTTACAATGCACGAATCAGTAAAGAGTCGGTGTAATTTAGTAAAATACCCTACTTTATATTCTTACCCTAAAAAATTTTCAATAATGCAAAATAATTATTAAATTTTATGGATTTATTTAATCGTTCTTATGTTTTTGATCATCTATTTTTTTTCGAATGTTGTATATTTATTCTTATAACTTTATCAAAATAAGTTTATTGAGCTTTATATTTGGGAATTATATGATTTACCTTTATATCCTTATTTTCCCTTCATAAAATATTCTTTGAAGACTTTTAATAAAAAGTTATTTCATATTTATACTTTTTCTTAACATCGTTCTGATCTTTATGCTCGCTACTGTACACCCGCACACACACACATATATGAATGTGAGTGTGTATGTGTGTGTATGTATGCATATATATATATATAAGTGTAAATATATATATATATATATATATACGTATATATATATACGTATATATATGTGTATATATATGCGTGTATTTGTGTATATTTGAATATAAAAGTATATGTGTTTGTTTGTGTGTGTGTGTGTGTGTGTGTGTGTGTGTGTGTGTGTGTGTGTGTGTATTTCGGCAGCATAAAAATGTTTTATTGAATGATATAAACAAAATTTTATCGCCAAAATATGTGTAAGAGTAAAGAACAAAAGTAATTTTTAATTTTTTATAATCTAACTTTCGATTGAAAAACCTTTTTTTCTAGTTCTCTTTTTTAATCATTTTTTCTTACATTAATTTTGTCAAAATAGAAATAATTGTCAGATTTTAATGAAATATTCAGAAATGATGGAAGATAAATATTTTATTTTTTTAAAGATTTTTTCTACTATAGCACTTTTAAAGCTCAGCAGGAAGTCATTGAAAAAATCATCTTCAGAAAGTAAATCAGGTTTTCTTTTTTAAAGATGAACACGTAAACGCGAAAATTCTGAATTGTAACATACAAAAAGGACAAACTTTTTGTAATTTGTGATACAATCTGCATTTCGCTGTGAAAATGAATTTTAAATGAATTATTGTTATTTTAAATTTTTTTTTATTTTTTTAAAAAAAAAAAAAAAGTTGTTAAATGGACGCGTTCTGTTATCAATATTTTTTAAATTTTTAAATTTTTCCGTTGTAGCTTTAACGAAATCTTCTTGCAGACCGGAAAATTGATCCAATACCATGCAAAATGGCATTAAATGTTAAAAAATTTATATATTTCCAAATAATACATTACTGCTCAAAACACGTCATAAGAAAAATGAACAAAAAAATGTTTTTGTTCAGTGTTGATTGGTTGACAGAAAAATTATTTTAATGAAAAAAATGTTTATACGTTCTTTTTATAGAAACAAATATTTAAGATAAATTAAATGACCTTCTCTTTATAATGAAAAAAAAGTATTTTAACAGATTTACCGACCTGAATCTTTGTTTCAAAATATAGAAATTCTCATAGTTAAAAAAAATATGCGTCCTCCAACATCAAAAATCAAACCTGTATTTTTCCGATTCAAAAAATTGAAGATTTTTAACCGTTATTCAAAAAAATAGTTTGATCATTCCTCTTGATAATAAATTAACATTTATACGATAAAAAATTATTTTTCAAATTTAAGGCCATTCATGGTATGGGCGATCTTTACCTATTTAAAAATAATTGAATGATATCATTTAATTTTTATAATGTTTTTTACTAATCTTTGTCAAGATGAAATTCATCAAGGAAGACCCCAATTTTTTTTTTCCGCACTTTCGAGCTCATGAAAGATCATCTTCAGAGATGAATCTGTGTCTGATTTGTCGCTTTTTCTTTTATTTTTTTTAAAAAAAAAAAAACGCGTGGAAACAAATTTTGATTTTCCGTCACGAAACTGCAGACCGGAAATGGACAAAATGGCATTAAATGTTTGTTATATATAAAATAATACATTTTACACGTAATAAATTTTGTTTCAGTGTTGATTGTTTGCGTGACGTTCTTTTTATAGAAACAAATATTTTTGATCTCTTTATAATTAACATTTACCGACCTGAACGAGAAATTCTCATAGAAAATATGCGTCCTCAACAGGAATCGAACCTGTATCCTATACGGAATATATAGCATAAGGAGTTTTTTGAAATTAAGCCACAGAGGAATTGTAAGGTCGTTTAAAAAAAACAATTCTCCGTGATATTCTCAACATTCTCAAAATGCGACCTTGTCCACACTATGAAATGGACAAAAAAATTTTGTCCACCATTTTCATTGTTTCATTTGATATGGACGAAATTGTTTCGGCAACTCGACCTTGCCTTAAAAAAGTACACCTCGGACGAAACGTTTTCCTAGTTTTCCTATTGGCTTTCACACACACACACACATATATATATATATATATATATATATATATATATATATATATATATATATAAGCAAATATATGGATATAGATCCGACAGTATAAAGAATAATATACAGAAAAAAAACAAACAAAAATCTTCAACGGAAGGGAATTCTTGAACTGTTTATATAAAATAGTTCAATCGAGCTTTTTTAATATTTTAATATTTTGAAATCATCTTCGAATACGTTTTCACAACATCACCCACATGACGACGACGTGATCATATTTAAACGGAACGCTAATCTTATATAAAAATTTCAGTTATCTGTTTGGATTAGTTGTGCTCTTATGTCCATCGTCTTTTCATGTTGAATTTTATATGTTCTAATGTTAATTATGTTTAATGAATATGTCCTGATGATGGTCTAAAATAGACCGAAACGTCCGACGTTGACTTTATATTAACATTAATACAGCATAATTGCATATTAAGATTTTTGTTTGTTTTTCTGTATATTTTTCTTCATATATATATATATATATATATATATATATATATATATATATATATATATCGGTGTTATTGCAAGCATTCAGGTTCCCGATCTGGCATCTTGACTATAATCACTTTCCTCTGCCTTTTCTATAAATACTAGAATTTATTTTTTTGCAACGCTGGCGCGTGTCAAAACCTCACAGTATTTAATATTGTTGAACTCATCGCTAACATTTTTTGTCGAGATTTAAGAACTCTATGTTTCGTTCAATTTCACAAAGGAATCGATGAAATTTGAATAAGCTCGAACAGATAGATAGCTATGGAGAGAATGAAATCAATCAATAGATAGAGAGATATAAAGAAAAAGAAAGACAAAACGAAAGAAAAAAAAGAAAGAAGGATTGACATAAAGATATTGATCAGATATTTATGAACAGACTGGGATAGATCCCATTTCCACCGCTTGATCTCACAGACCATTCACAATTGTTTTTACATGAAATGAAAGGAATATCCTTTCTTTTCCGATATATTTCATTCCTAATAAAAGTGTTTCATTCATTTTTTTTTCACCGCTCGCAGTAGAAATCGATTTCGCGGCGTTTCGGTTAAACGGGCCGAAAATATTTGCCATTGATATTTAGAACTGGGTAAATATGCTTGACCCGCCATTGGATTCTTGCCGACTCTCAGACTAGTTGGCGCCACGTTTTCAGAGATGGCTCGTTCATCAGTTCATGCGCCCTTTTAACACTTCCTGTTTTATTTTATTTAGATGGGTGGTATTTATTATCTTTTTTGATAGAAGGATGTGGCGGGGTGCCTGTATTATGTCTTTATATCTTCATATATCGCTCTAACGTTTGAATTTTTTTTTCTCACAAGTCGAATATTATTATTTTGCTATAAATTCCGATGCAATTTTTGGTCCCGTTTGTTGAGCTTATTTTTCTGCTTTTAATTGAAATCATTTTTTTTTCTATTGGGATTTATTTACAAACGGCTTCTGCATGTAATTCTGCATCTTGTTTTTTTTATTTTCCTTTCTTTTTCTCATTGATTTGTCGTTCTTTTTCTTCTATTTGACTGGTCTTTTTTTTCTTACTTTTTATTCCCAATTCTCAATCTTTATAATCACTGAATTTATTTCCTTCTTTTTTGCTTTCGTTCTTTTTTTCTCATTTATTATAATTTCTTTTTTTTTCTTTATTTTTCATTCGCTTATGTGTTTAAACTCTATGCAAGTCTTCCTTTTGAATTTCATTTATCTCTTCTTATTTTCATCATCCCTACATTTCTTTTTTTTCTTTTTTCTTCTTTCTTTTCTTTCTTTTTTCATTTTTTTCTTTGTTTTTCTTTCTTTCTTTCATTTCTTTCTTAGTTTTTTCCTTTTTTTTCTTTTCTTAATTTTTCTTTCTTTTTTCTTTATTTATTTTCTTTCTTTACCTTTCTTTCTGTTTTCATACTTCTTTCTTTTCTTTCGTTTTTCTTTCTTCTTTCTTTCTTTCTTTCTTTTTCTTTCTTACTTTTTCCTTTCTTTTTCTTTTCTAACTTTTTCTTTCTTTTTTCTTTATTTATTTTCTTCCTTTTCCTTTCTTTCTTTTTTCATACTTCTTTCTTTTCTTTCGTTTTTCTTTCTTCTTTCTTTTTTTCTTTCTTTTCTTTCTTACTTTTACCTTTCTTTTTCTTTTCTTACTTTTTTCGTTCTTTTTTATTTATTCATTTTTTCTTTTCCTATCTTTCTTTTTCATACCTCTTTCTATTCTTTCGTTTTTCTTTCTCCTTTCTTTCTTTCTTTCTTTCTTTCTTACTTTTTCTTTTCTCTTTCTTTTCTTACATTTTCTTTCTTTTTTCTTAATTTATTTTCTTTCTTTACCTTTCTTTCTTTTTTCATACTACTTTCTTTTCTTTCGTTTTTCTTTCTTCTTTCTTTCTTTCTTTCTTTCATTTCTTTCTTACTTTTTCCTTTTTTTTTCTTTTCTAACTTTTTCTTTCTTTTTCTTTATTTATTTTCTTTCTCTACCTTTCTTTCTTTTTTCATACTTCTTTCTTTTCTTTCGTTTTTCTTTATTCTTTCTTTCTTACTTTTTCCTTTCTTTTTCTTTCTTTTTTCTTTCTTTCTTTTTTTCTTTTCCTTTCTTTCTTTTTTCATACTTCTTTCTTTTCTTTCGTTTTTCTTTTTTCTTTCTTTCTTTCTTTCTTTTCTTTCTTACTTTTTCCTTTCTTTTTCTTTTCTTACTTTTCCTTTCTTTTTTTTTATTTATTTTCTTTCTTTTCCTTTCTTTCTTTTTTCATACTCCTTTCTTTTCTTTCTTTCGTTTTTCTTTCTTACTATTTCCTTTCTTTTTCTTTTCTTACTTTTTCTTTCTTTTTTCTTTATTTATTTTTTTCTTTTTCTTTCTTTCTTTTTTCATACTCCTTTCTTTTCTTTCGTTTTTCTTTCTTCTTCCTTTCTTTCTTTTCTTTCTTGCTTTTTCCTTTCATTTTCTTTTCTTACTTTTTTTCTTTTTTCTTTATTTATTTTCTTTCTTTTCCTTTCTTTCTTTTTTCATACTTCTTTCTTTTCTTTCGTTTTTCTTCCTTCTTTCTTTCTTTCTTTATTTTTTTCTTACTTTTTCCTTTCTTTTTTTCTTACTTTTTCTTTCTTTTTTCTTTATTTTCTTTCTTTTCCTTTCTTTCTTTTTTCATACAACTTTCTTTTCTTTCGTTTTTCTTTCTTTCTTCTTTCTTTCTTTTCTTTCTTTCATCTCTCTTTCTTTTTTGTCTTTCTTTATTTCTTTTTTCTTTAACATTTTTCTTTTTTTATCGTTTTCTTTATTTCCTTTTTTTTCTTTTTTCTTTTTTTTCTTTTTTCTTTCTACAGAAGAATTCGAAATTGTTGCATTTAAGTACTGAATTAATATTTAAAAGCTTTTAAAAGTCCAACGATAATTCTTCTGCTGCTACTTAATTTAAATACGATTTGATGCACATAGGTCCTTACTTTTCGTACAAACAATTATTTTTATTACATGGGTGACAGAACAGGGGACAATTAATAAGATAAAATTAATATAGTGTAAAGATGGGAAAATAGTTATACATTCAACATTTGAAGAGTTAGGGGAAGATAATATCTCCTTAAGTAAAACTTATGTTATGTTATCTCTATGTGTGAATGCGAAATTGGAGCTTAATTCTGTCACGAATTCTGAGATTAAAAAGTCCCAGCTCTACTTTATAGTAATTTACACACGGTATTTACTCTGTCCCCACCACTAGGATAGTGCAATGGGAGGGTGCGGCCCCGAGCAGCTGTTCGCCAGGGCTGAACAGCTCTCAGTATTATTTGCCTCAGTTGCGACTCTGTTCCTTGGCGGAGTCGACCCTGAGCACACTCTGCCCAAAGACAGAGACGCGACTGAGAGATGATAAGTAGACGGAAATTACTCAAAAGAGTAATTTGCATTTTACTCAACCCCCACGAGGTCAGATTGTGATACAAGGTCGGTTTAATGTGGGGAGCCCGAGCGCGTGCTTGGGCAAGGAAGAAAAAATTCGAGCCCCCGCAACTGTTGCTTGCGCTAGCCTCGGTGCATGCACCGATCCTTCTCTCTAGTGCAATGAGAAGGCGCTGCCACGGGCAGATGTGCCCGAGGGCCGGCCCCTCTCAGTGTAATTTTTCTCACATGTGACTCTGTCCCTTGGCAGAGTCGCCCCTCAGTGCACTCTGCCCATAGTCAGAGAACCAACTGAGAGATGATAAGTAGACGGGAAATTACTCAAAATGAGTAAGTATGATGTGACACAAGGTCTGTTTTTAGGTGGGGACCCGAGCGCATACGCCCGGGACAAGAACAAGAATTCCCCTCAGCGGCCACAACTGTCGGTTGCGCTGGCCTCGGTGCGAGCACCGATCCATCCCTCTGGTGCAATTGGAGGGCGCGGCCCGGTCAGCTGTTCCCCAGGGCTGAGCATCTTTCAGTATTATTTTCTCAGTTGTCCCTTTCTCCTTTGACAGGGAAGCCCCTGAGCGCACTCTTCCCAAAGAAACGCAACTGAGAGATGAAAAGCCCTGCGAAATCCCTCCACGGAGGAATTTACACGGTGTTTACTCATTCCCCACAGGAATGAGATGTGACACAAGGTCGGATTAATGTGGGGACCCGAGCGCGTACACTCGGGCAGGGACAAAAATTTCCCTCAGCCCCCGCAACCGTCGGTTGCGCGGCCTCGGTGCGAGCACCGATCCCTCCCACTTGTGCAATGGGAGGGCGCGGCCTCGGGCAGCTGTTCCCCAGGGCTGGGCACCTCTTCAGTATTTTTTCCTCAGTTGCCCCTCTGTTCTCAGACAGAGAACCCCCTGGCGCACGCTGTCCAAGGACAGAGACGCAACTGAGAGATGATAAATAATGCGAAATCCCCCCAAGCAGGGATTTATACTAAGGAAGGTGCACCATAGAAGCTCAGTATCTGTATTATATATTATCTACTTCTAAGTGATATCACTCTAAGGGTTTAACTAATTTACATATTTAAAAAAAAGGTTTATATCATTAATTAACTGTTTTTCATTACTGTTCTTTTATTCGAGGATTGTTTTGATTTTCATATCAAAAATAGTTGTTTACCAATATTGTCCTTTATACTGCAGAAAAGTATTTGAAATTTGCATTTTATCTTGCCTTCAAAAAGTTGGCATCTATTTGTAAAACCTTTCCTTTCCAAGCCAATTTATGAATGAAACGTTCATTTAAACTTTTTGTTTCAATGATTTTACTTTGTGAAGCGATACCGAGCGGACGAAGCCTGCTAGTTCCTTATAATATTTTAATTTATTTACGTTTTTCATTGCTTTTCCTGTTCTTTTTCTTTTTCTCAGTGTTTTTCATCTGTTTTGCCTTCTTTGTTATTGATCTTTTTTTTCTTTAGAGACACGATAGAATAATGTATTGAGGCTTGGATTGAGGAATTGAGATGAGCCGAATTCGAATTTCGGTTGAGGTCATTACATTTCCTTGCGTGCTAATATTCTTGGAAATGGTATAAACTAACCCTCCATTAGCTATTGTTAAACAGTAGGACAGATTAACGTGGCAACCGATCTAGGAGTAGGAAAACTCTGGTGTAACACATTCTAAGGGTAGGTTTGTTCGCAATGACTCGATGAGCCCGACGACGTTTATTCTTTTTTTGCCCTTTCTCATTCATTATAAGTTTGACACTATTTTTTTCATCTTTGCATAGTTCATTTTTCTTTTTCTGTTTTTCATTTTTCATTCTTTGTAAAGTCAGCATTTCTTTGCATTTTGTTCTCTTCTCTTCTCTTCTTTCTTTCTTTTTTCTTTTTTTACCTTTTCTAATTTCTGATTATGATAGGGCCGAAAGGATATTCGCCCGAAAATAGCTGGGTAACATAAAATAACACATTTGCAGTTAGTTGGACCTTTCTTGTATATATGTGGATTCTCCATCTATACTTTTCAAAAAAAAAACAATTTTGAATTTTTCTCGATTTCGAAACCTCGTGGACGAGATTAACGAAAACGAGACGAGGGGATGTGTTTTAAATGTCATTTGATGTTTTGTTCCTTTTCTTATCATTCCAAATAACATCACCTATGAACAAAACTTATGTCTGCTTTTCAAGACAATTTTTCTTTCTCTTTCGGATTTCCAGGGATGTGTTTTTCTGTGATGTTTTGTTTTTTCTATTTCGATATTTATGTCAATATTATTCTTGTTTTTCGACAGTTTTTCAAATTTCTTCGACAGTTTTTCAAACAGTCCCTCCTTATTTATTATTTTTATTATTATTATTAATAATAATAATAATAAGAAGAAGAAGAAGAAGAAGAAGAAGAAGTAACGTGTAGAATGTGTGTGATCTTAGGTTTTACTTATTTACTTTTATATAAATGATCTGTGGAAAATATCACGAAGCGATTTATGACGTTAGATCTCTTGTTGGAACCCGAAAGAAAAATGTTTACATAACAGAAATCAATGGAAATAATAATAATAATAATAATAATAATAATAAGAAGAAGAAGAAGAATTATTATTATTATTATTATTATTCATGCTCAATTTTTAACAAAAATTTCAAGTGTTTAATCGCATTTGGCGTATTGCTTTATATCTTATAAAACTTTATCCTATGAAGCACTTTAACAAACGTCGGAAAATTTAAGACCGAAATCAGAAGGCACCCTGGGAATTGCCACACCTTGTTATCCAGGGCGTCATCTTGGTGTCTTTCTATTCGGCAAAAAGCGTGAACATTCATCCACACTTGTCGGGGTTTTCAGGATGCAGTAGGTAGAAAATGTGTCTATGTAATATTAGTGCAACTATATGGCAGTAAATCCTGAGCAATTGAAGAGAAAACTTGAGGAAACAGAAATGTGATTATACAGCAGGATGATGAGAATGTCAGAGACGAAACCTGTAAGCAACAACGAATTTTAAATGAAAAATAGAAACAAAAATTACAACTATAAATAAAAACAATAAAAGCTAATTAACATTTCTCGGACACCTAATGAGTAAAGAAGGCCTAGAAAATATGGCACCCACATGAAATACGGAAGGTAAGAAAGAAACAACGCTTAACCTATATAACGAATTTGTGAAAATCGATATAAGAAGGCCTAAGAATTATAGGAAGATGTGGAGAGCAATGATCGCCTATGTACTGAAATGACATGATATATAGTTGTTGTAGAGTACTGAAGCAACCCCACTAGATGGACTGATCTAAAAAGATAAGTAGCTCGCTCTTTTACTGAAAGAGTGGAGGTAGAAAAAGTGGAGGTAGAAAGAGTGGAGGTAGAAAGAGTGGAGGTAAAAATAGTGGAGATTGAAAGATTGGAGGTAGAAATAGTGGCGGTTGAAAGAGTGGAGGTTGAAAGAGTGGAGGTAGAAAGAGTGGAGGTTGAAAGAGTGGAGGTTGAAAGAGTGGAGGTTGAAAGTATGAAGGTTGAAAGGAACTTCTTTGAGTTTTGAATTTGACAGGTGGTTCTGTATTCAGTTAGGGCCTATCTTTTTTTTTTTAGTCTGCCCGCTAAATGCAAGCTGGCAACTTTCATTTTTATATTGTGTTAGCCTGTCGAAATAGTCACTTTGAAGTTTCTAATTTTCGCGCCGTGTTTTTATGTTTTCTGTTTGTTTTCCTTGTTTCGAGAGGGAAATACCCTCTCACTATGCCGGAGGTACCATTGGCCACACTATCGTCGACTTCAGCATGGGCGTCGGAAACACACAAAAAGTACCAGAATACTTTAAGGGTCTGAGAGAAATGTATAGCTCCATCTCAGGCCATGAATTTTAGCTAGTGCCTTCTGTAATGGAAGCAATTACGACGAGATCCATCTCCCTGTTGATGTCTGAATCTCCCGAGCAAAAGAAATTAGCGCCATTTCGTGCAGGAAGGGTCCCTTTTCTCCTCCACCTCTAGGGCCCTTAAATTAACCTTCCTAACGGATGACAGCAGTATTGTCACAAAATGACGAATTACGTCTGATGTAGATACCAGTAGGCTGGGCCAATCCGTTGGGGTCTTGACTTCTACAGCTTTTGCAGGCTTAAAAGATGTCTGTTAAGCTAGCTAGCTTGAATGTGAGGAGCCTGAGAGATCGGAGTAAGGCTGCCCGCTTGCTTTGTGATCTCTTGTCCTTCGGTGTAGATGTGGCTGCGATCCAGGAGAAACAATTTTGGGACGTCGATGCTCATGTGCTGTCTAACGACTTTGTTGTTTATTCAGTATACGGGTACAGGCTGGCCAGAGATGTTTCCTTGTGAGTCAAGT